AGGAAATTCATGTTAATTTATATATTTTATTTTTAAACTAAGAAACTACGACATAAAACTAATAAAATATCTGCATTGGCAACAAAAATCATAAAATAATAATTTGTCGTCCATATCTTTTATTTTGGAATCTACTATGTCATGTACGCCTGTTCATGTTTGATCCAAGCTAAGAAAACCAATACCACGCAACACCAGTGTCTCAGCTGCTATTAAATATCGTTTTAATACTGAACAGAACCAATACAAAATAAAGGGGTCGTTTCAATAATACAAAATATATTTTTACCAATAATTTGTATTGATGAAAAATTATGTTTAACTTACATCATATATGTACACTTGTCCTTAGACCGAAATATACATAAATACTTCGTAATATTCAAATAACTAAATATTCAAAAAGTTAACCTAACAAGTTTAGAACTAGTTTTAAAAGTTATTTGTTAGTTTATAAGATTCAAATGATAACGGCTAGCTAGAACTACGGATGTAGTAGTTTAAAAAATAGAGCTATCGCAAAAACAGAAGTAAATAAAGTGAAGAACATGGTGAGATTAATAAAGATGCTACCTTACTAAGTTTTCCCTTTTCTTGTATAAATAACTGTCCCACGACCTGTCGGTGGCTCAGCGGTAGAGTTGAGGGCTTATAGTGTTAAATTCTGAGTTCGATTCCCCGCAGAAGACACAGAGCAGATAGAGCATTATCTAGCTTAGCGTTTAATAACAAACAATCAAATATAATTAGCTAATTATTTTACTTTAAACAAGTAAAAAAACATGTAAAATACTTTGGGCCACAGTAATATTCAGATGTATAATTTCTACATTTCTTCTTTAACTAATAAGAACAGATAAACGTTGGTTGGTTGTGGTTTTTTTAGAGCAAAGCCACAATGAGCTATCTGCTGCGTCCACAGCGGGGAATCGAACAGCGGATTTTAGCGTTGTAAGTCCGTAGACTTATCGCTATCACCCCAGGGGACACAGATAAAGAAAAACAAATTAGATAGCCTTTCAATTTTTAACAAAGAGATAAATTAGTTTATGTTTTGGTTTTCATGCTTTAAGCTGATTTTGCTTCCTTTTAAAGCAACACAAACAACGCACGTTCTTTCAAGCGTAAGATAGAAAAATCGTTGTCTAGGGGAGTAACGAGGCTACATAAAACAATAAAATCAAGACATTATTTTACTTAAACAACCAAAGTTTCTTAGAAAAAAAGAAGAAAGCACTGCGTATTAGGTGTATATACCATTATTTTCGATTTAACTAATTAGTTAAAATTTAAGTTTGTCAGTATGTCTGATGTAAGTTAATTTACTCATATAAATCAGTCTTTGTATATTGAACGATATGTATATTCAACAGCATTGTATATCTTTAACAAGCCAATTAGTATCTTTATTGCAACAGTACTTCTTTAACTATAGAATTTGTAAGTTAATTTACTCATATAAATCAGTCTTTGTATATTGAACGATATGTATATTCAACAGCATTGTCTATCTTTAACAAGCCAATTAGTATCTTTATTGCAACAGTACTTCTTTAACTATAGAATTTCTATAATAATACAAATAATTCTAATCGCAGACACCGAAATCTGTAAGTACACTTGTCTTAAGCTCAACATTAGTTACATCTTTATTAAGTACGGCCTATATTCGATAAAAAAGATCAATTAACACTCTAACTTGTGTACGTTTTTGCTTCAGTTTAGTTACGGCCAAACTTTACCGTACTTAATACTATCAACCTACGGCCCCCGGTGAAACAGCGGTAAGTCTACGGATTTACGACACTACAATCAGGGGTTCGATTCCCCTCTGTAGACACAGCAGATAGCCCGATGTGGCTTTGCTATAAAACACATAAACACACTCTAAGACCCAGCGTTATACCTTTTAAAAACTTTGATATGCTGTTGTACAAAATGTCTACTAAAGTATATTTACATCCGCCTTTTGTTTAAATCCATTAAAGTGCGTGCGCATGCGCATTTAGATAGTATGATGAGCGCGCATTTTCAAGACAGACAAAACTGAGTATAATTATAATAGATTCTGTGTTTATCGGAGGTTTCCTCTGGGAGTGTAAGATTGTCTAGCGCTCAGCGAGTAAAGCCTTCTGGGGACCCAGATGGTAGAGGGGGGTTTAATAGCCAGTTATTGTCAATATTGCAAAAAATGAAGGTATAGAACTCTCATTCATTAGCTGCAGAGAGTAGCATACTATCGTGTAAAGTAAGAATTCAAACCAGACAAAATTCGAATCTAGTGTGTAGACTGACAGTTTAATCAAGACTGCAGCGTCTCGAATTCTACAAACCTTTACAGGTTTTAAGCAGTGAATTAATCCAAACTCTTGATATGCCTTTCTACTTGTTAAAAATCTGGCGAGAGTCCTAACACATTCAAACATTAGTAACCTATAAATTGAAACCTGATAACGTAAAAGGGAAACCTGAATTTTGTGTTGTTGGTTGAATCATCTGCGTTGTACCCAGAGTCACAGTTCAAATCTCGCCTTGTCTCAGCTTTCATCTCTTTATAAGAAAAAAAAACACGTCATCGTTACTTTCCTCAGAGATGTGCACAAGACATTGTCTCTCACGATTTAGGGTTTGTGCATAAATTACACATATTAAGTAGGCTCTTTATGTTACTACGATAAACAGATATCTGCAAGTGAAACGTTTACATCTGTTCATTAAAACTGATTCAATTCAAGATAACTTAAAACTGCCTTCCGTCAATCACACAACTTCGATCGAATTATTTTGCTTGGGTAGCATAAAGCGAATTATGTCTTTATTTCATAGGAAAACTGGTACAACATGAAGATGAGGTATGCTATTACCGAGCACCAGCTTATACGGAAACAGATGCTGGATTTAAGAGGACACGTAAAAGTGTAGAATCTTGTTTCCGTATAACCTTACGTTCCGTAATAGTGGTTCTTAACTTCATTTTAATTTACTTTACACGGTATTGTGTATTTATCTACTAAACTTTGGGCCTTCATCCTTTGTTTAAAGCTTTCTTGTACATATAAAAATAATACTGTAAGTAAAATTTCAAATTTATGGGAAATGAACAATAATAGGTTTATTTGTTTTTATCTCTATTCTGGAGAAACGACTAAAATAAATGGTAATACTTTAGAATAATTGTTTTATTTACTAAGAGTTGAAAGTTCAGCTTTTAATGTAAAAAAAGTAATACATAGGCTTATAAACATTTATTCCTTTGTCCAAATGAGGTCACAACTCGTATGGACCAATTACAGATGGTTGAGACAGTCGATACAAACAGATAAAGGGTTTTGAGGATTATTAAACAAATTTAAGACACCACTGGTTAAGTATGTTCATAGCCATTAATCTTTTGTCCTTCACCATGTGTTGAAAAATTTCATATTGCCAACAAAGATCTGAAAAAAAAAATCTATAACTCCAGAAGAAAGCTTTTCTTTATTAGATGATGTTTCCGGAGTTATAGGTACTTTTTTGCGTTGTTTTAGTATGAGTCAAATACTTTAATCAGTACTTAAAGAAATGATGGAAAATTGCGTCAAGACTGCTAAATAACGTTAAGTACTATGCATTAATCAAGAGACGTGTGTGTAAGAAAACTTATTTGATCTCGAATTATAAATATTTGTTTAATTAAAGATATTACTGAAGCGATCTTTAAGAGTAAATTAAAGTAAGTAAGTAACAATTCTTGGTAGATGCTAAGTTATGTTATTTTTATTAGATGCTACTTGTTTAATTATCCCGAAAACTTTACATTCTGAAGCTTTTGATCCCTTATTAAACTATCTACACTTCTATGAATATCATCTGAAACAACCTAGGAATGTTACCTTCCTCAAACGTAGCCGTTCCTAAAAGTAAAAACATTGGTTTTATAAATGTTAACTCAACCCGTTATAGAATCTTTAGATATACAGAAACTGCTGTGTTCGTATTTCTTTTAAACAATGATATTACTTCAGTAAACAGTGAACTTCTTTAATCTGCGTTGTAAAAACGTTCCTAATTATCTTATACGTTTGTGAATTTCTTCTTTAAGATATTAAGATGGATACATTAAACACTGTATATAAGATAATTGTCATAAAATGAGAACCGAAAGTACTAAGTTATATCCTTTAAATCGTTTTGTTGTTGTTGTTGTTTGTTTTTCATTTTAGAAATGAAGAGATAAAGGAAGGAATCCTGTTGCAGTACTCTACCCTACAGTAAAGATTACAATTTTCTGTGCTAATGCTGAGGAAAGGAAGGAACTTTACTGCAATACCCTGTCCACAGTAAATATTACAATTTTCTGTGCTAATGCTGAGGAAAGGAAGGAACTTTACTGCAATACCCTGTCCACAGTAAATATTACAATGTTCTGTGCTAATGCTGAGGAACGGAAGGAACTTTGCTGCAATACCCTGTCCACAGTAAATATTACAAATGTCTGTGCTAATGTTTAGGAAAGGAAGGAACCTTACTGCAGTACTCTATCGTACATAAAATAGTAACCTTTTCTGTGCTAATGCTTAGGAAAGGAAGGAACTTTACTGCAATACCCTGTTCACAGTAAATATTTTAATTTTCTGTGCTAATGTTTAGGAAAGGAAGGAACCTTACTGTAGTACTCGATAACAATTAAGATTTTTATACCTACGAAGCTCAACATGAAGCTTAATTTTTTTTCGAAGCTCACAGAAGGCATTGGAAATAAATAGTTGTTGAAACTGAAATACTGATTGGTCATTCAAACAGGCAATTGATACTTTGATTTATTCCATGGAACTGATAGACTTTAAATTTTTAATAACTGGGATTTATATTATGACACGAATATAGTTTGACCTTTAAATATGTCCGTGGCAATGGTAACCCCACCAGGAGAAGGCTCGCGGCTATCTGGCTCGCAGGACTACCTCCCGGAATCTACTCAAAGAATAGGTTTCCCACCCAGCTTGTGTATTAGTGGTGCAGACAGTGATGTCGTCGATTCGCCTTCCAAACCTCATCTAAACATGTTATCGGTTCATAAACAGAATCCTTTACACTTTGGTCGCATGCATTCTGAACCCGAGCGCCCTCTACCATTAGTAGAGTTCCGCCCACTAGAACAACCTGCTGACACTGACACTTCACAATCAAACTATCGGTCCTGTCCGGAGATTCGGCCGGACATTCAGATCCAAAAAGTAGATGCCGTGGACAAGAAAAAGGAAGAGTTAGTCGCAGCGCCCTCTCCAGTTACTTACTTCGATAAGATAGAAACTAACAAAACAGAAAATAAGCCGAGAACACATCTCTGGCCTCCGCACATGCGGCAGGGCTTAAGCGCGCGGCTAGAACATTCATTTCTAACACGAACAATATCCCGAGAAAGTGTGGGTTTATCTAGTGCAGGTATTTCTACAAATGAAACATTGCCTTTAGTACCACCACCGATATCTACTATTTCCACGTCGTGTCCGCCGCTTCAGTACGTCGGGGTTCAGCAGTCGATCACAACATCTCTCCGGCAGCTTCACAGGGCGGAGAAAGAGAGAGAGAACGAGATAATTCAGATCGCCGCCGGCTCCATGCGGATCAATGGAGCTCTCCGTCATTTTAAACAGCTACGTAAGCCCAGGTCAACTATCTCCATTCCATCATCTATGAAAACCCAACAGCAGAATTCCACCGACAGCGAGAACCCCGGAATCGCCCTGGTCGGAGTGAACAGTGAATGTCCACAGTTCTCGGAGAACAAGAAATCCGCCTCCAAGTTCCACAAGCCCAGCGTGGGCTATCGCCTTGGACGTAGGAAGGCTCTCTTTGAAAAACGAAAACGAATTAGTGACTATGCTCTGGTTATGGCTATGTTTGGAATAGGGATGATGGTCCTGGAGAACGAGCTTTCTGCTGCTAACGTATACACAAAGGTTAGTGTTAATGCGTTGTATTGTATATATATTCTTAATCTGATATATAGTTCAATGAAATCGAGCTAAATTTGAAAATTTTCCTCTAAATAAAAATAAGTAAATAGAATAAGCAACATTTTTTAGCACTTAAGTTTTTTATTTTATCCTGCTCTTAAACAAATGCCTCCCAGTAATCAGCGTTACGTTTACGGACTTACAACGCTAAATTCTGAGGTATAATTCCCTATGGTGGATAGAGCGCAGGTGGTTCACTGTAACTTTGCGTTAAAAGAAAATAAACAAACTTAATCATATATTATTGTTGATTGTTTGTTTGTTTGTTTAGAATTTCGGGCAAAGCTACACGAGGGCTATCTGCGCTAGCCGTCCCTAATTGAGCAGTGTAAGACTAGAGGGAAGGCAGCTAGTCATCACC